TGGGGCGGGGCATGGACAATGATGCTATTATTAAGGGCAATGCAAAAGAAGCTCTAACAAAATACTAATGGTCTCTGATAAAAAACCACCCAGAACTACACCTTATGACTTCCTAATGCTTTGAGAAATTCATCTAACAACGCAGAGTGGAGTCAATGGAAACTCATCATCTTTGATGATTATAATTCATGGGTTTCAAAAAGTAGTTTTTCCTAGTATTCTTTCCCGAGCAAGCAGGAGTCCTGTTGGTATAAAGAATGGCACACGTGGACCCTGGAGTAAGAGTGAAGAGTTTCAAGAAAGAGAGAATTAGAGAAAATGAGTGAGTAAAAATAGTGAGACTCTCTTTTGACCTATTTTGAAGTTGTTTCGGTTTTAAAATATTTTCTACTTTCTTTTGACTGAGGCTTTTCTGTTTGTTAAAAAGAATTCATTCCATATCCATGTCATAGGCAGAGCTAACTTATTACCTGGGATGCCACTACCAATTCACCGAAAGCAGCTTGCCTCTTTACAAAAAAAAATTAAAAAGCAGTCTTTTAAATTGAATTGAAAAGATTCTCTTGAGTGAGCTGTCTTAAAGCTCTGTTTATAACTCATTGTTCAATCGTGGGGCATGGGAAAGGGCATGGGGCAAGTTTTAGTGTGTGTGTGGGAAGGCTTCCCTAAGGTGTTCTTTCTGTAAAAAAAAAAATTGAACTAGGAAAGACACAAGGTCCTATCAATGTTTGAAGGTGAGGTAATGTCCAAGTTCTGGTTGAGAGGCACAGAGATGAGTAGAACACTGTGGACCTTGTGGGGAGATTGCTGTAATTTACTAAACATGCCTCCCAAAGTGAGATAAGGTAGTTAATAGTTGACAGTGGATACTTTCTTGCCTAGCCCTTTGTCCTTGAGCAGGGTTAACCCCACACAGACGCTTCATCTACGTGTTTTTCATTTAGAATGTTGGGAACAGAACATCACTGGATATTTTACTGACAAGGTAAAGGGAGGCAGGACTGTTTAATAACTACATGAGACAGTCTTACTGCCCTGGAACCACATGACATGTAAGTGAGTTCGTCTAGTGTGCACTGTACCTCAGGTAGTTACTGACAATCCCAGGACCCGGGCTAAGAACATTAAGCTGAGAACATGAAGAACAAAGGCACACTGCACTGAGCTCACAATCGGGCCGAGGGCAGAGACCCCGTCATGCGTGCCGTGCCGTGAGAAAGGTGGAGTCTGTCATGTGCTCACACAGAGGCACGAAGGAAGAGCTGTGTGATTCAGCGAAGCGCTGAGGTGTCTTTCAAGGTGAAATGATCTTTAGAGACACACACAACAGGGCCATCTCCTAATTTTCCCTTCAAATACGGGTATTCTGAATGACAGCATCACAACGGCGCTAGAAAATGTCCCGTCCCGTCCCATCGGGAGTGCCAAACAAATGGCAAAAGACCTGCAGCCCCAGCTCTGACCTTTCCTCACCTGCCTTTGTAATTATTGATGTCAAACATCTTCTTTGCTCTGTAGTACACCAGTTTCCAAGGTCGAGCAATGTCTTTGCCTAAAGTAAACATGACAAGTGGTCACACGAGCAGTTTAGAGCATGGCGGAAAATTCAGTCTCATCTAGAAAAGTAACAGAATACGAACTCTTCAAACAACACTCCCCTCCACAGCCCACGCCGTCTCAGGGAGCAGCTGGATAAAGTACCAATTTCCGGGGGGAAGCTTCCAAATCTCACTGCTTTGGATCTAGAGGTCTCAGATCCTGGTCTACCAAATAAGTTTAACATACCGTATATACTCGTGTACAAGCTGAGTTTCCCAGCACATTTTAAAGCGGTTTTTGTGGTAAAATTAGGTGCCTCAGCTGATATTCGGGTAAGCTTAAACTCGAGTACATACAGTAATTTGAAATGAGAATAGTGAAGAAACTGCCCTCCCCCTTTAAATCTGAGATTGTCTTTCAGTCCAAAGTCCCGTATCACTTTCAAATCACCATCTCCAGAGGAGGGCTCCAGTTATTTCAAGGCCCACATATGGCTACATTAAAAGAGCAACAACAAGAAGCTGGAGACGAAGGTGCACATAAGGCTGTGTCGTGTGCAGTGTATACAAAATAAATAATAAAAAAAGAACAAGAAAACAAACCAAAATCATAATTACTACTAAGGAGGCGAGAAGTTAATCATGTCAATTTTCATAAATTCCGTACAATATATGCAGGAGATCTGAATATAGTCCAAATCCCCAAAAGCATAGGTTAGCACTAAGGATACAATTACTCACACCTAAACCATAGCCCACGGCCAACCAGTCGGTTCTGACTCGTAGTAACCCGATAAAAGGTTTCGGAGGCTATAAATCTTTATAGGAGCCAACAGTTGCATTTTTTCCCCAAGGAGTGGCTGGTGGGTTTGAACCACTGACCTTGTGGTTAGCAGTCCAACGTTTACTGGACAGCGCTCCCAGGGCTCCTTCAGGATTACTCACTGCAGCAGTTCACAAGCATTGAAGGCATGTCATGGACTGGGCATTGTACCAGGGACTTTCTTACCATGGGAGACCTCGATGACGTCACTAGGATGCAGATGGGGAAAGAGTGGATTTTCCTCAACTTACCAATGTGCACTCTGAACCCATATTTTCGTTTTAAATTGGTGATCATCGCTTTCTCCTCGGGGTATCTGTCAGTGTGCAGCAGCTTGTCTGCCGTCTCAATCCCCGTCAGGGACAGAAATTCTTGCACGTTTTCCTGTAGCTGTTTATTCTCCTTGCTAGAAAACTTGCCAAATTTAATAGGAACACCTGGTTGGGGAGGGGGAGTATATTATTATGACGATCATTATCAATCATGAACAAAAGTACACCCACCATGTGGCCTTTAACTAGCAATTACAACACAACACACTCTCCCTGCCTTCCTGCCCTAGGAGCGAGTTTCACCCACAAGCCCGACCCCCCCATTCATTCCGTCCTGGCCCAGCCAACCTCTTTCACAGTGATGCTTGGGCCAGGCCTCTCCTCCCAAAGCCTTCCCTGGTCATCCTAGTCCAAAGTCATGGCTCTTTCTGCCTAAACACTTCACAACTTTGATTTAAAATAAATAAAAAGATCACATGGTGCTAAAATATACTTAATCCCCAACTCGCCATCTTATACGCACAACTCAGTGGCAGTAATTATGTTCACCCTGTTGTGCAGCCCGCCACCGTGATCCTCAGCCATGCTTCTCCTTACTCCTCCTCTACCACAGGCAGGGAGAGGAAAACTAGCCCACCTCTTGTTGCTAATCTTAGAGCTCTCATAAAAACTCCGGCCGGGGAAAACGTTGGAAGTACCTGAAGGATGTATCTTGTTAGTGGCTACAGCTTAATCATTCATAAAAGAAAAATCAAGTGCTAGCTACAAATATTCAAGTTCTACAAGCATACCTTGTGCTTTAAATTCTTTAAACCGGTCCAAGTCATCCCGGTACATTCGCTTAATTGAAGTGGCAGCCCTTTCCTTTATATCGGGAATGAATTCTTGAAGTTGTTTCACGGCGGATCCCAAATCCACATCGGAATCATCTGAATTTCTTGAATCCTCAGATAAATAGCTTTCAGGATGCCTAGCAGATTCCAGGTTGCTCTCTTCATCATGTGTAGATTCTAACCTAAGGGAGAAAATGGAGTTGTCCTAAATTCTTTTCAACTCTTTCCTTAAAAGGGCTCTCACCTAGACAACTACAGAGCATTGGGGCTGCAAGGAATCTTGTCATCGTATTTCAGCTACCAGTACACACCTCAGAGGCTGCCTCTACAGAGAGCAAACTTGAGGCTACAAGTTCTATTTCCACGCTATTGGGTTTTTTTAAATCATTTTATTGAGGGCTCGTACAACTCTTATCACAATCCATACATACATCCATTGTGTCAAGCACATTGGTACATTCTTGCCATCCTTATTCTCAAAACATTTTCTTTCTACTTGAGCCCTTGTTATCACCTCCACATTTTATCTCCTCTCTCCCCCACCCTCCCTCCCTCATGAACCCTTGATAATTTATTACTTTTTCATGTCTTACACTGTCAACGTCTCCCTTCACCCACTTTTCTCTTACTCATCCCTCAGGGACGGGGTTATATGTAGATCCTTGTGATCGGTTCCCCCTTTCTCCCCCCACCCTTCCCCTTCCCCTCCTGGTATCGTTACTCTCATTATTGGTCCTGAGGGGTTTATCTGTCGGATTCTGTTTCCAGTTCTGATCTGTACCAGTGTACATCCTCTGGTCTAGCTGGATTTGTAAGGTAGAATTGGGATCACGACTGTGGAGGGGGGAGGAAGCATTAAAGAACTAGAGGAAAGTTGTATGTTTCATCGGTGCTATACTGTACCCTGACTGGCTCGTCTCCTCCCCGCATGCTATTGTTTTTAAACCAAAGCTATAATGTGTAATTGTTTTGTAAAAAACTGTATAACTGTTTTTTTAAACCAAAGCTATAAGCTGTAAGAACTACTGTCATCAAGTCACTTCTGACTATGATCCTATACAGGGCCTCCTGTTGTTTTAGGTTTTATTTAAAAAGATGAGGCAGCCTCATCTTTCTCCAGAGGAACAGCTTTTGGGTTTAATCGCTGGCCTCAAAGATAGCAGTCCAACATGCACCTGACCGACAGCACCACCAAGGCTCCTTTCACCGTTTAAGTAACTCTACAGGGAAAAGCAGACACTCGGCACCATCCCTTGCCACTCTGGGAAGTAACCATTTTTAGCTTTTTATTTTTCTACATCCCACTCCCTGGTTTTCTACTTCCAAGTGTCTACATCTTTGCTTAAAGACTTGAACTGATTTTCTCATCAGTTTAAGGACTCTGCTGGCCCCGCTGCCCCTCACACACCTCTCCTAGACCTTCCCACTGTTATTTTCAAAATCAGCACTCCAGTTTTGCACGAACAGCACTGGGTCGGTATTATCCTTATCAGAGCCATGCACAGCACTAGGCTCCTAGTTGTTTCTGCTGCAGTGAATGACTTCCATTTTTCCCTTTGCTTAGTCTTCAGCGTTAGTATTTGTGTGCTGCTGAATCAATTCCAGCTCCTCAAGGCCCTCGTAGGAGAGAGCAGAACTGCCCCGTGGGGTTTCCGAAACTGTCTTCTCTTTGGGAGCAGGCTGCCTCGTCTTTCTCCAAAGGACTGAGGAGTGGTTAGCAAGAACGTGCTTTACCCAGTGTGCTAGCAGGGCTCCTTCTAGCGGGCTCTTACTGATCACTGATGTCAAACCGTTCCTCATTGTGAGTGTATTGGCAAGACGATCTAGGTAAGACAACGATCAAGTGAAGAATGGGAAGAATATTTATCTCGAGTCTTAGAAACTAAAAAAAAAGTGACTGGGGGAAAAAAAACCTCTTCCTGTATTCATCAGACAGTATAAATAATTATACAAATAATATTTAAACTTCTTCCATTAATAAGAATCCTAATTAAAGTTTTTCTTTCTTTTTTGGGGGTGGGCGTGGGGGGCTGCTCTGTATCACTCTTATGTGCCTAACCCTTTCTTCTCTCTATCTCCATGTAAAACCCACTGCCATCAGGTGAATTCCAACTCACGAGTAGGAAGAGCTGCCCCAGGTTTCTGAGGCTGTAAATAAATGTTTTATCAGAGCAGAAAGCCGCATGGAGTAGCTGATGGGTTCGAACTGCCATACGGGTATTTTCAGTCCAGTGCATCACCCCCTATAACATCAAGGGCTTCCTATCAAACCAAACTCACTACCACTGCGCTCAGTGTGACTCATAGTGACCCCACAGGACAGGGTAGACATATCCCTGAAGGGTTTCCAAGACCGTAACTCATTACAGGAGCAGAAAGCCTCATCTTTTGTACGAGGAATGGCTGGTGGTTTCAAACTGATGACGTTGTGGATTACAGCCCAATGCGTAACCACTATGCAACCAGGGCCCCCTAAGACGCTTTGTCCTTTGTCCTTCTTCTAGACAAAAGACATTGATTTGGGATGTTGAAATTGTCTTTTTCTTAACTTACTGGGGATTTCAGGGCTAGAATAGTTATTCACTGTTGGTTTAAGTTCATTGATGCAGAAATTAAGTGACTTGTCAAGTTTATGCGCTCAGGATGTACTTATTCTGTCCACTGAAGGGTCTATTGCTTTGATTTCTGACATTTAGATGCACGTGCCAAATACCACGGCCAAGGACAGAATGCACGCCAAAAGAACACCGTCAGAAGAGAAAATGCCAGCATTACCTGTGTCCCTCTTCCAGAAGATTCTGTTCTGAAGAGGCCTGGGTTTTCTTCTTTTTAGTCCGGGGATTCACACACTCTTCAATCAAGGTACCTTCCCCTGCCGCAGAATCACCACGTTGCAGGTCTAAGCGTGTGTCCTCGGAGCTACTGCGCATTGAAGAGTCAACACCAGCGCCCAGAGCATTTCCAACAGAAGATCTTCGCTTCCTTTTCTTAGACTTCCTCTTTGTACCACTGAAGTCCGTGACTTCAAGGGCACCACCGACTGGTCCAGAGCCGATCTCCCCCATCTCTTGCGATCCCTCAGGATTCATGTTCTCAAGATGCTCGGGTAACGCCTCCCACCCTGGGTTATTTGAAGTCTTCTTCTTCTTCTTCTTTTTCTTCTTCTTCTTCTTCCCGGTCAATCCCACGTGTTCTGGAGTTTCCCCTTGCAGGTCCGCAGATAGCAGGGGTTCCTGTTGCTGGGACTCCGATGGGTACAGGGCAATGCTCGCACACGGGGTTTCCTGGGAACCACAAGAGGTTTCCGTCCGCTGCCGTTTTCTATGCTTTCTTCTCCTACCGTTCTCATGCAGCCATTCTGCATCATTTGCACACGCCTGAGGAACCGAAGGCAATTCTTCTGCCGCAGGCTCTTGGGCTGGTCTTTGGCCCCTGCTCACATGAACAGAGACACCATTGCCATCCATGCTGAAATCCGCAGATGCGGCCTCGATCTTTCCTTTCCTCACAAGGACATAAGCAACACCGGTCTCCTTGTCCGATTCCAAAGCTCGTTTCCGCTTCTTCTTTTCCTTTTTGGATGTTACAGCAGCCTTCCCCGGCTCGTCACCCATTTGGGATTTGCTCAGAGAAGACGTGCAATGCTGGGTCTTCTTCTTCTTCTTCTTCTTCTTTTCTCTCTCAGTTATTGGGAAAGGCTCGTTCGCTGGGCAGGAGTCCTGCAAGGTTTTGCTGGAAGGCTTCTGATGCCTTTCCGTATCCACGGAATGTTTTTTCTTTTTCTTTTTCTTGCCAATAACTGGAGTGTGGATTTCATATTGCCTTGATTTTCCTTCCATTTCTTCCTACGGTGAAAGGTGACAATGATTTATTGTCGTAAAATATGACAGGGGGAGAGGCTTCAAAAAGTCCCAATGTTAGTTAATACTGTTTCCCCAGGCCCTTTTTGAGGGCCCCGCATCCAGATTACGAAAACCGTTGCTTTTTATGTGTACAATTCAGTGACATTAGTTACAATCACCGTGGTGGGCAACTGTCACCTTGATCTGCATCCACATTTTTCAGCCTTGGTGGCACATGGGGTTAGATGTTGACCTGCTAACCCACCACCTTGGTGGTTTGAAACCACCAGCCGCTCCACGGAGATTTCCCTCCCGTAAAGTTTTACAGCTCGAAACCCACAGGCGCCATTCGACTCTGTGCTCCAGAGTCAGTCGCTATGAGTCCTACGAGTCAGAATCGACTACAAGTCACAGTTTTTCTACCAGAAACTCAGTGCCCCTTCCCTCGAGCAATACCCCCCATTCGTACATGACAATCACCAATAAACTCTGGTCTCGACACTCATCTTCCTGGTACAGATCACTTCGTGTCAGTGGGATCGTACACCAGCTGTCCTTTTGTGTCTGCCAGATTTCCCTCAGCACATTCCCAAGGTTCACCCAGGTTGTATTATGTTTTGGGACATCATTTATCTTTATAGCTGAAAAACACCCCGCTGTACATCGCATTTAGTATCTCCATTCATGACGATGGACAATAGTCCCACCCCCCACCCCCAAAGTATTTTAAGCATTAGCTGTAAGGGGAAAAAATAATAAAAATGTATCACAAGATGGGAGTCACAATTCCATAAAAGAGGATGCTACTCCAAAAACCCCAAACCCACTGCCACCCTACAGGGCAGGGCAGAACCGCCCCTGTGAGTTTCCGAGAGTGTCAGTTTACAGGTGTAGACAGCCCCACCTTTCTAAAGGGTATGATAAGTACATGGCATTCACTTTGTCTGGGTCATCACCCTCATCAGATATAGAAAAAAATTAACAAAAGAGGACCGCAGTGTCCTGCCTGCATGATCAAGCTCAGGTCCACCGCATCAGTGCTGTGCTCTGTGACAAACACACCTTTTTTGGTTCCTCAAACAGGCCACCAGCCTTTCCTTGGCCCAGAATCTTAATAGCTACGGTTCCTGGTACCTGGAGCACTCTATGCTGTCTCCCCACCCCCCACCATCACCTGGCCTGTTAACCTCTTTCAGAGCTTGGCTCAAATATCACTTCCAGAAGAAAGCTTTCCCTGCCTCCTCCAAGTCAGCTCTTCCTGGAATTATATACTTCCATCACAAACTGACTTGTCTTCTGTAGCATTCACTTTAACTGTAACTGAAAGGTATACTAGGTATTTGACATCTTTCACCGAGTAAACCACAGGAGGGAAGGCAATTTATCTTTCTTGCTCCCCCATATTCGCACCACCCTGAAGCCTCGTCCCAGGACATCACTGGAGTGCAGGCTCCATGGTGTGTGTGCATAAACCATCCACTGACTGAAATCAAGCTGCTTCTTTGAGACCTGGGGAGGGGGGGGGCCTTGATAGTGTCTAACAAAGTTAAAATTCTATGACATGTTGAAATAAATAATATTGTGGAGCTTTTAATACAGCTCCTAGTTTCCGTATCCATTTCCTATTCCAGACTCTCCCTCTCCCTCTTGCTCTGTTGCCCCAGGTGGAGACCAATGCAGTGCTTTCCAAGGCCGCTTGCAAGCTTTTGAGACCCCCAGCACTGGACATACTACGAAATTGAGCGGTAGCACTGAACATGTTCTTAGGCTAATTAACCGAAGAGTCCATAAACCCATGACCCAACACCTCAAGGACCCACATCCCATTAAGTCGCCCATAGGCAGCCTCAGTAGCCACCCCTTTCTTTCGGTTGTAGTAAATGATCTATCACACAGCTTTTGGCCCTGGCACCCAGACTTACCAGCTGCCAGTTCCCATCTGTTCCTTTCCTCCCATCATTCTGGTTCGTCTTCACCAAGCTTTCCTTGCTGACTGGCTTATGTTCAAGTACTGCCTCAGTGTTAGCTGTTCACTACGCTCTAAGCGGGTGAGTTAAAGTGAGATCTTTTCCAGTCTTTCTCCCTGTTGCCAAAACGATTCCAGGGAAACAACTCTTTTATCCTGTTTCTGATACTAACTAGCTCTTGAGCTCCAGGTGGGGCGTGTGGGAGAGTTCTAGATCTCAACATTGAGCGTTCACCACACTCAGTGGAAGGTTTGTTTGAGACTGCTAGGTCCTTCATGCCTTGGCAAACTGGGGTGGGACTTGAAAGTTTCCTTTTTTTTTTAGTGCACCCCCAGGTGATCCTGAGGCTGTTTTGTCTAGGATCACACTTTGATTGTAGTTTGAGGCCAGGGCTTGGTAAACTTCCTCTGTCAGGAGCCAAATAGTAAACCTTTGTAGGCTTTAGGAAGCATTTATCCCCTCACAAGTACTCAGCACAGATTACTGTCACAGTATGAAATCAGTCCTTTGAGTGACAAGGCCATGGTTTTTACAGTAAAATACCTAATTTATAAAACAGAGGGCAGGACCCAGGTTGACAGCCTCTAGTCCAGATTCTCCTCTGGATTGAGAACTCTTTCAATAACTTGATGAAAACAATAAACCCTTGCTGTATACCCACCCAATTTCCATGCGTTTCTGAAACTCCTGCCTGTTGAAAAGGTCTATTTCTCTGATTTTCCATTTGGACTACAAATTCTTGAGTATTTCCCCAAGAATTGAGTGTGTGTGAGAGAGGTAGGGGGAAGGTAGGAGGTGGAGACATTTAACAATGGAAAAGAAGCTTACCTCTTAGTACCTTTGCCTGGTTGTGGTTCCTAAATTTGCTGGCTGAGGTTTCTTATTCAACTATACCTGTAAACCAGAGAAGCAATTGGGTCTTTTGTTTCAAAAGGCACTTTTGAAAGTTGTCAGGCCATTTGCATTGATCTCAGTATCCACTCCATCCTGTCCTTAACCAGAACCGCGCTGACTCCAGAACTACTAATGAAAACATTCCACAGCTGCACTGAGCTACCTGTCTCTCTAGCTTGCCTGAGCAGCCACAAGCGTTTTTCACTCATCGGGATCTTCCAGTTGACCCATCGGGTGGGTCCCTCACTCTCCCTCAGTCCCCTGCTGTGCTCATGTCCTCCCTTGTTCACCTCGAACACTAGGGTTCACGGCTAGTGGCTACTGAGCACTTGAAATATGGCTGGTCCAAATAAAGATGTGCTGCGTGTAAAACAAGAGTCCTGGTGGTGCTGTTGGGAAGTGTTGGACTGCTTACCACAAGGTTGGTGGTTCAAATCCACCAGCAGCTCCAAGGGAGGAAGATGACAGGGCCTGTTTCAGTTAGGGTGGCTCTGAGCTGAAACCGACTCAAGGGCAATAGGTAGTAAGTGTAAAGACAGCAGATTTTGCGGACTCAGCACATACAAGGTGAAACACCTCATTCGCGATATTTGCATCTTCTTATCAAATCAAAAGGATAATTTGGCTCGTGGGTTAAATAAAATATGTCACTAATTCCACCTGCTCCTTTAAATGTGTTTTCAAGTGACTGCTTAGCAAATCTTCAATTACATAGGTGGCTTGTGTTCTGTTCCCTTGGGCTAAGCTTACTGCTCAAAACAGCCCACCCTTCCGATCTTCTTCTCTAAACCATGGACTTTGCATCAACAGCATCTGCATCAACTGAGAGTTTGCTAGAAATGCGACAAGGTTCCTACCCAGACCTTACCACACTCCCCAGTTGGTGTGTTTTTAACACGTTGAAGTTTGAGCAGTTGCCCTAGTGACCAAGTTCATTGAGTGTATGAGGGGCCCTCAAAATGTTTGTGGACACTCCCATTATCCCCATGATATCTTGCTCAAAATCCCCCTTGTATTTTCTATCTATTTATTGTGTTCCTCTCCCACTCTTCTTAAATAACCATTTCACACCTCCTTCACTCTCAAATTCTAAAGTTCCTTTCTTCTTTCTCCCTCTCACAGATGATCTTACCGGTCACCTCACATTCTCACACTCATTAGACAACAAATATGTTAACCATGAACTCTAGCAGAACTGCCTACATCTTCCCCAGCCTCTTTTCCTCTCTAGCTACAACCAAAGAACTGGCCCTCTTCTGTCAAAGGCCATTTTCTCCATGTGGGTGCTAGATCCCCACCTCCCTTGCTAATCAGATCCATCAGGTCGCCCAAACTCAGCCTCTTCCCCCTGCACTGGCTCCCTTCTGCCAACTTTAAGATTTTCTTTAAAGATTTTTTAAAAAATATTTCTTAAACCTTACTATTTTCTAACTTTAAAAAAAGGGGAACCCTTTTTCTGGCCTTTAGGGACCACCCAGCTATCCCTTTTTCTCCCCTTTACAGAATTTCTCAAGAGTAAAATGTTTGCCCTTCTCTATCTTTCATCCACTTCTCCACTGAGATGGCTGGAGTGGAACCATTAAATTCAAAAACTCCTTTTCAGATCTTTTAAACAGCAAAGAGCAGCAGGGATTGCTCTTTAACACAGGCTTTCACCTTCCATCAGTTTCTTTTTCAAATACTTCTCAAGCTTTTCCCTCTGATTTCTTAAACACTGTACAGATTTTTAAGCAGATTAAAACAAAACAAAACAAAACAAAAACCACCTCACAGCCACAGAGCTGATTTAGACTAACAGTGATTCTACAGACAGGGTAGAACTGCCCTTTGGGTTTCCCAGGCTGTAAATCTTTACGGGAGTACAAATGGAAAGCCTCGTCTTTCTCTAGAGGAGCGACTAGTGGTTTCAAAGCACTGACCTTGCAGTTAGCAGCAGTTAGCGTGACCCTCTATGTCCTGAATCGGATAACCACTCCCCTGGAAAAACGTGATGCCCCCCTTGTTATTCTTAGGAGAAAATCCAAAAAATCTCTACAGACCGACAAGTACCTTCATGGTTCAGGGAGAATCTAACCAAACGTCCGATTACCGACCCTCTGGTTCCCAAAGGCCCAAACTTACTTCAGTGCCCATGTGATCAAGCCCGGAGCGGCGGCGGCGGCGGCGACACGGAGACGCCAATCGCAATCCTGGAGTCCGCAGGCCAAGGACGGGGTGCCCGGCGGAAAGACCACGGCCTGTCACTGCTCGGTCTGCACAGGCGCCTTTCCTTTCGACCGAAAACACGAACCAAATCACTTCCCGCTTCCCGCCCAGGCCGGCGCCATCTTTCTTCCAACCCGGAAGTGCTGCGACGCTCAGAGCGGAAGTAGTTGCGCGTCACTTCCGCCCCGTGCCGTCTGGGGCCCATGGTCGCGCAGCTACGGAAGGTCGTTTTTGCTGTTTTGTGAAGCGCTCAGACCTGGTGGTGGGTTTCAACCGGTTTGCACAAGTTCTGCGGAACCGATATCTAATTTTTGTAATTTGTGGAAATCACATATTTACATTCCTACCTCTTTTTTTTAACGCTCATCCGCGCAACTGCGTACTCTAAGCACCTGTAGTGATGTTCATTCCGTCGGTAGGTATAACAAATTAGAACTATGCTTGTAATATTTATTCGTTGCATAAAATTCATTATACTTTTAGTGAAAAGCTACATTTTTATTCCCTTGCCTTTACTGCTTCAGTAAACAAACAACGTCAGCAGAAAAAGGACAAACAACCCGAGGGTGACACGCTATCAATTCGTTTCAGCTTTGTGTTATGACCCAGATTCTCATGAGAGATTAGGAGGGAATTGTGCAATTCCTGAAAGTGTTCACAGAGCTAAAAATGTTGTGAGAACAATTGCTGTAAGCTCAGCCGATGCAGAAAGGGATTTTTCAAAGATGAACGTAATATGTTCAGAGAAGGCAGCTGTTTTTAATATATCAAACACAATGACTATTGCTTAATTGATGTACCCTTAAAGGAATAGGATCCTACGCTGTATTAGTCTAGGTATTTTGGAGAAACAAATCCACAGCGACTCATGTATAAGAGAGTTTTATGTAAAGAAAAGGTGCATCACGAAAACATCCCAACCCAATGCTGCCCAAGCCCACAAGTCCAACATTAACCCATTAACCCAACACCAGTCCACAAAGTCCTCCACCTCACAAAACAGAGGCAATGATGCAGACTGCAGGAGGAAAGCTGAGTCAGTGAACGAACAAGCATCTCAGCACTAGCAGGGGTCTCCACACGGATGCTCCAGCACCCAGGGCTGCATCGGGATAGGGCCATGTAGCTTCTTGGGGATGTCTTGTAGGAAGTCAATCTTGCAAGCTGAAGCAGGGAACTGCTAAGGCAGCTGCACCCGGTGCAACTATCACAAAACAAAAGAGACCGGAGAACTAGAAAGGCGAGGCTTCACCACCCATTTATCCCTCTGCCTTTCAACCAGCCCCACATGTGATTATCAGCCAGGCTGGCACAATTAACTAACTCATACGCCTACAGTGAAAATATCAGTAAGGATATCACACAGCCAACAATGTTTAGATAAAAGGGAAGAATATTGCAAGTGAGGATGCCAATCAGAAAGCAATATGGAAATAACAGTTTTATTGTGTTTTTGTCAGGTATTCTTTAATATTTTTCATTAATATTTTAAAACTGTCATCTAGTTTTGAGTTCCTCGTCTACTGTTCTTACTTAAATGGTTACTGTATGAAATAATAACCACCTTTGGGTCCATCTTTTTTTATACTTGAAATGGTCATTAGAGCAGTGAGCTGGTTGGTCAATTTTTTAAATCCCATCACTGACCCAAATATATATTGCTATCAAATGGATTCTAGTTTAAAAGTAACCAGTAAGGACAGAATAAAACTACCCCGAAGTTTCCGAGGCTGTAAATCCTTACTTCTGCCACATCTTTCTCCTGGGGCTGCTGACCTTTGGCTACCTCCCTAGGGCACTCACCACTCACCAGACCCAAACTCAACTACCAGGGAGTCCATGCTGACTCACAGCGACCCTATGGGACAAGGGGGGTGGAACTTCCCAGCGGGTTTCCCAGCCTATAACTCTTTATGGGAGTAGAAAGCCTCATCTTTCTTCTTTGGAGGAGCTGATGGTTTTGAACTATTGATCTTGAGGTTAGTAGCCCATCAGGGCTGCTATTACTCCATGAGGCTCCTCAAATGAAGGAAATATAGGACAGAATTCTTTCATTATGCATTATACTAGTTCTTGTATGCATTCAATTTATTCAACAAATGTTCACTGAGCTCCTTCTACAGTCCAAGAGGAGCAGTATCGTAAGGTCCCTAAACTGGTGTAGACAGCTAACAAATCAAGCAGGATAATTTTGGGTTATCCTATGAGGAAAATAAAATAGGGCAAGTGATGGATCGTGACTGGTGATAGTGGATACTACTGTCTTTATGGAAGAGAAAGCTCTCTGGGAAAGTGACGTAACCACACGAGTTGTGAGAGAAGGAAATCCTTATATTTAACATGAGTGTTAGCATTCAATCCTATAACAACTCTCTATTTAGTTTTTTTTTAATTGTTTTATTAGGGGCTCATACAACTCTTATCACAGTCCATACATACATCAATCGTGTAAAGCACATTTGTACATTCATTGCCCTCATCATTCTCAAAACATTTGTTCTCCACCTAAGCCCCTGGCATCAGTTCCTCATTTTTCCCCTTCCTCCCCTCTATTTAGTTTTTTTAAATTATATATATATTTTTAAATTACTGAATATATTTCAAAATATTTTCGTTAGAAAAACACTGCTCATGTTGTTACAACCATGATTTTCAGCAATCATTAATCAAGACAATATAATTGTATTCAGAGTATAATTATTTGCTTATTAAAATGAATATGAACTAATGGAATAATAAAATTACTGAATCTATTTCAAAATATTTTAAATTAATTATTTTAAGGTCATTTTATTGAGGGCTCTTACAACTTGTTACAATCCATACATCAATTGTATCAGACATATTTGTACATATATTGCCGTTGTTCTTTTCTAGACATTTATTTTCTATTGAACCCTTGGAATCCACCCTCCCCACCACCCTCATGACTCCTTGATAGATCATAGATTGTTATTATTTTCATATCTCACATCGACCACTGTCTCCCTTCCCCTCTGGTTTCTGTTCTTCCCCCTGGAGGAGTGTGTGTGGTAATGTGCCATTCATTGCGATCGATACCCCCCTTCCTCTCCTCCTCTCCCCTGTTTCCCCCTACCCTTTTGGTATCGCTCTTCCCATTCCTATTCCTGGGTTCTGTGTGTTGTAAGCTTTATCTCTTGCTTATACCTATGTACATGTTCCGGTCCAGTCCAGAGTGGGAAGCAGCACTGGGGTCATGACAGTGGGGGGTAAGGAAGCCTCAAGGAACCAGAGGTATATCGTGTGATCCATCGGTGCTCTACTGCATCCTTATTGACTCATCCACTCCCTGCGACCCCTCTGTGGAAGGATCTTCCATTGTCTACTGATGGGCTTTGGGTTTCTGCTCCCACGCTCCTCATTCTCACCAACACATTTTTGCTGTTTGTTTATTGTCTGTTATGAATCTTATGATACCTGTTACCCGGTCCTGATGACACATCATGATCGCACTGGCTGGTGTGGTTCTTCCATGTGAGCTTGTTGCTTCATTGTTGGATGGCCGCTTGTTTAGCTTCAAGCCTTTAAGACTCCAGATGCTATATCTTTTAGTAGCCGGGCACCATCTGTTGTCTTTACCACATCTGCTTATGCACCCATTTTGTCTTCAGTGATCATGTGTGAGGGGGGGGTGAGCATGAGGGAGGGTACGAGCTGAGGCCCAAGGCCCATCCACAGCCTCAGTGTATTGCCTTATAAATATATTTATATAGGCCAATACCTCTGTTTTTATGGATTGATGTGTTTACATAAGTACACACCTTTGTTAATACCTCTATCTATAGCTTCGCTTCCTAGAGCTTTTCTCTGTTTCCTTTTGCCTCCTCCTGCCCCACCATCACATTCCCCCTTCTTCCACCTCTTAGTGCTTCCTCTCAGCTAGATTGGCATTGCTTTAATACCCACAGGATCTCTACAACCTTCTAGATGTTGGTTTTAATTCCCTGGTTGTTCCCCTGTCTATGGCATTGCTCACTTCCCACCCCTCCTTCTCCTAAGACCCTCTGGGACTGTTGGCCCTGTTGCTTTTCCCTGAGCTTGCTTCCCAAGTCTGTCTCATATAAGTAGGCAAACCAGCAATGTCCTTAGTCCAAACAATAAGAAAACAACAAATGTGCTTGACACAATCGATGTATGTATGGATAAGAGTTGTATGAGCCTCCAATAAAATGATTAAAAAAAAACAAAACAAAAGGTTGAAAAGAAAAGGAGAGAAAAAAAGAAAAAAAACAAATAAACAAAACCATCCATAGTTCCAGGTCTGTCCGCTGGCCTTTATGAATCCCTACCCCCTGGTGCTGGGGGAGTTAATTATATTTTTATCGCGATATATTTTGCATATCATACAATTTAATCATTTCATCATATTAAGAAGAGAGTTGTGCAATCTCACCATAATTTCAGATCATTTTCTTCTTGAACTCATTATCATCAGGTCCCTATTTCCCCCATTCCCCTAATTTATTTTTATTTTTTTTAATATTCTCTGAAGAATGTATTGCAAACTAAGTGTCGTAGGCCACAAGGGGAAAAAGAGGGACTATGTACAGCCTTACAGGAAACAGGCAGGGAGCTGAGGAGGACCAAGATGAGTCCAGGGCCTTGATGAGCACATTCCTGGGGGAGGGGGCCCTCGCATCCCTGGGGGAGGTGGTGGCATCCCTGAAGGGGGCATGCCCATTGGAGTCCCCTGTCCAGGGGGGATGCCCATTGGGAGACCCATTGGAGGCCTCATACCAGGAGGTGGGCCTATCATGCCCTGGGCCCATAGGTGGTGAAGGACCTACATGGCCGGGTAGATACTGGGTTGGGGCCCCTGCAATACTGGTTATGGCAGCAGCAGTGCATCTTCCTTGGGGAGTCATCACCTGTTGGGATGGACCCCAACTCCACGGACCGGACCAGCAAGTCCTGCAGGAGCTTGGGGCATTGGAACACCTACCTGCTGGAATTCCTCTGCCAGCTGCCCTACCGATCCCTGGGCCTCCAGCAGCTCCAGCAAGTGGGACTCAGGCAATGCCGGTATCTTCGGGAGGAGGCCCCTCCACAGTCATCGAGACCTGGCTCTCTC